TCACCAAGTACAAGTGATCAGCAATTTCCTTTATGTCTTACTCAGATGAAACTAGACTGCCTTTGAGTGATAAGAGCCACTGATTTCCTTAGATAGTTAATAGTCTCAATGTTTGCACCCTTGGTAATCTCTTGGAATAAAATCATAAAGATAACCAAAATATTCTTAATATAGTTGCACCTTTTTGTTAGCTTTGGGAATTAAATTACAGTTTTCCTTCTTATGTCACATGGCCTGTCCAATATGCGCAAAAATATAAACAGTAATTTATTACCAAAATCACATCTCTTCCAACCAAACTACGACGTTATCTGGAATATACAATAAACAACTGAAGGAGAAAAATAAGAAGCACCTTTTATATACTAAGAGAATCCAGTAAAGCAAGGGCAGTATTTGATAATGCAAATTTATGAATAATTTGTCATGAATCGATGATACAGTATCGAGGAACACTAACACATTACATGGATAAGATGAAGTCTCCTATAGATCGACCTTTCCCATGAATTATTGCCAATAAAGTGATGAAAAGAGAAAGACAATGAAACAAAAGTTTAGCTTTAGGATTACACCGTCTGTCGTAAACCTAATTACTATGTACTTTTATTCAACGGTGACTGTCCATGAAGGCTGAATAGTTGTTTATCCAAAAAAATATATATATATATATACAACATCTAAGGCATAGTTCACTTATGGAGTTAAACGGGGTGATAACAACCAATTTAGGATGTAAGCATTACCACATTACTCTGCAACTAATCAGAAGAAATTGAAAACATTGTGGAAGACGAAATAATAATAAGAACAAAAGGTTCACACGCATGCTGAACTGAACGCTGTTTGGTTGATGAGAAAATTCATTGAAAAAAAAACACAACCAAAAAAACGAAAGATTGGTCTGTGAAAAAGCATCAAATTCGCGAAATCGTTTCGACTGAAAATAAGTCATCTCACTCTCTTTGATTACATGATCAAGCATCATAACCAGACATCCACAACTCAAAATAAATCTTCTTCTTCTCATTCTCCATGTTTTTTTATCGGCCATATAAAACGTCTTAAAAACACTAAACCGACAGCGAAAAAACCTACAAAACCCTAGATATCTATTACGTCAAATTGTTCCGCGATTTTCAGATTGTAAAACATGAAAAATAAATAAAAACAAATACCACACAACAGAGTATAAGTTCTTAACGCGTATCATGAAACGAGTAAACGCACAAAAACTTTATCTAACAACCTGTTAGGGTTTCTTCGTCAGCGATAAAGTGACATATGCTTCCTTTTTCTTCTTCTCTGCTACACCGCCACCGCCTGATAACCAGAAAACAGGCGGAGCTGTGGAGGAGAAACTCAGAACTGAACACTGAATGACCGGGCCACCAGGAAAAAGAACACCTCTGAGCTTGCTCGGCCAAATCGGCTTTTATAGGTTGTTATGGGCTTGCTTTTGATTTCCATGGGTCTGGTTTTATGGACCCGGCCCAACATCGAATGTAAAAGAATAAGAAACTTGGGCCCAAATTTTATTAACTTTAAAAAATTTTAAATATTATTTTTATTTTCAACTATCATATTGTTTGTGAATAAATAATTGTAAAATTACAAATAAAATTTAAATAATTTTATATGAAGAAAATTTATTTACTGGTTAAAATAAATTTTTACGTCATTATTATAATTCATTTTTTTCCTCCTAAATATTCATTTTTGCTATAAAAAAATACAATATTTAACTTGAGTTTTACAAAAAATTATTATTATTATTATTATGTAATATTTTATTTATATATTGAAATTTATAAATTTGTATTTGTATGCTCCCTTATTAGTATATAAATACACCTAAATTTAATTAAAAATGTCACTAAAAGTAATTAAAATTGCTATATTTTTAAAAAAATATTGTAATTTTACAAACTAAAATTAAATTTAATTCAAAAGCTGATAAAAAAATATTTATTTATTTATTAAAAATAAATCATGTTTCTCTCAAGCTATTTTTCAAAGTGAAGCAAAAATGATTGTGACCACATTAAATTGAAATATTAATATAATATTAATAGTTAATTCAAATTCTATATTTTTATTATTTATATTTTACACCTTGGTAATTAAAAATATGAGTGAGATTAATTCAAATTATTAAAATAATATATTATAATATAGGCAATAGTTTATTTTAAATTTTAAAAAATGTATGTAATGACTAAATAATCTTGTGGTTTGATATTTGTTAATTATTAGATACTTGGCTTGTAATATTTTATGATAAAGCATTAAAATATTAGTATGTTCCGTATTTGTTTGATAAGTGATAATATAATATCGCACGTAAAAAAAAAATAATAAAAACATTAATCAATTCCCGTTCTCAACCCATGACCAACACGAACTTTAATTTTTTTCGTAATTTCCAAAACTTATTAGTAGTGGCGCCACGAACTTCAAAATTACTCTATTTCGTTATAAGTAAGTTTTATTTATACGTTAATTTCATTCATTTAATATTTTTTTTAGTCTCATTAATATAAAAGATGTTATTTTTAGTTTATTATTTTTTATTTATATATTAAAAAAATTAAAAATTAATTATATAAGATTCTATAAATTGAAATATAAAATTATAAAGGGAGGTTTATAATGATTTTTAAATATTTTATACTAAGTAATCTAGTATTTTTATATGAAATCATGCTTTTTTACCCGTTATAATTATCTTAATTAAAATAATATAATCGTCTTATAATATCTATTTTATTAAAAAATATTAAAAAATCCGACGTAATTTATTCAAACTCGATCATTAAAATTTTATTATAATACAATAAGTTAAGTAATCAATCTTTTAAAATTCAACATTATTAGTCAATATCTATTAATTCATAATACACCACAAAATGATAAATTATACGGTTATAAATAAATATTATTTAGTAAATTACGTAAATCGTAAATTAATAAGAACTAATAACAAATGCTATATAACTTACTTGGTATCTAGATATATAAATTCAATTTTTTACTCAAACAATCATATATATATATTATGTATAATATTTGATGTATTACAAAACATTGTTATTGAACAAATTAGTGCATAATTCAGAATGTTATATACTTACAAACCAACTTTAAAAACAGAACCTCACTTTAAATTGTTTGTATACATAAACAATAATATATATATGTGTGTGTATATATATAATTACAAAAAGAGTGAAAATTATGCTGAATAAATATATAATAATCACCCATCTATTTTCTCATTATTTTAATAAAATTTTAACATAAAATACATTTGGGATACTACTCCAAACTCAGTACAAGAGTTAAATATTAACCACAGTTAAGTTTTACATTATAAAAAAAGGGCGCATTTGGGTTAAGAAAAAAAAAAAAAGAGTTAATAAATCAAACTTAATACTTACTTTTATTTTTCCTTTTTTTTTTTTAAAAAAAAAGAAAATTTATTTTTCGGTCATAATTTTCGGTTCTTCAAAAAAAAAAAAATTCTCGTAGGTTTCTCAGGGGTTTGACAAAATGAGTCACAGTGTACCTCCTGATTGATTGTGTTGTACCAGATTCAAATTTCCGTCGTCCCTGGAGAGACTTTCTCTGAAATAGGTAACGGCACGCAGTTTTAATTTTGTTATATCCATTTAGGATGGCATTTTTAATTTACATTGTCCGTGAATATTATGGAATCTAGGGTTTCAGTTCTTACCCGAGTAATGGGATTCATGATGTTGAATTTTGACCGTTGAGAGTTCGTTGATTCGTCGTTTACTGTAGATCCATGACTGACCTTAAGAGTTCGATTCCCTCCTTTAGCGTGGTTTCTTTTCGAGTAGTTTGAAACTATATTTGTATAAGTTGGTGGGGGGGGATTAGAGGGGTTTAATGTGGCTTAGGTGTTTCCTCGTTAGGTTTTGCAGGAAGAAGACGATGAAATCGGGTTTGAATTTCTGCATTGCGTGTATACGCTGTACGGTGTCTACGGTTGCTCATAAACGAATACATTTGATTTTTTTTTTTTTATTTTTTTTTCGTTGTGAGGTTAATTGAGGTAATTTTCGTGTTGTGTAGTAGTCTCTAACTCATATCTACCGAAGATCGGACCTTATGAGTATTTTGAACTGTTATAAATTTTTAAATCATTCCCTTTCCGTATAGATGGAGCTTTACATGAATGCTCTTTGCTGTTAAGAGGGTAGCATGAGTTTTTTTTTTTGGTACCTCAAATGGATATTTAGCTTTTAGAAAATTATGATAAGAGAAGGGACAAGTGCAAAATTTTGGCAGGGATTTAAGGATTACAGCTATTGTGCATGTACAATGTCCTAATGTCCATGCTCAAGTATTAATTATTGCATTTGAAGGCGCAAAAACTTTATTCGTTCAGTTTCCATTAATGTTCTCGAGCAAATGAGGATGACAATATTGCCTTTTTATTTTGTTGTTGTGATTACCAGAGGTCAATAAAGTGTTAAAAGTTTTTGTGGATTGGTATTCCCAGCATTTTAATTTAACACCTTTAACTGTGGAAGGAAAATTGTTGATAAATGATTTTGTTTGGGAATTCTGGTACCGTCACCAATCGTTGTTCTTCTCTCTTTTGTTTCAAGTGTCTTATTTTGATTCTAAAGAATTCATCGTCCCATTCAATTCCCACTGTTGATAGTCGAAGATAAGAAAACAGTCTGTTGTGGCTGAAAATAGCTCTTCTTATAAAAGTGGGATTCTAGCCTTCCTGGATTTAGTTATTTTCACCTAGGTAACAACTTTGTAGAGTCAAAACTTGTAAGGCATTCAAGTGTCTTTTGAACTTACCTTTTATTCTTTCTAGTTATATATATACATGTGAATCTTTTCGACTTTTACCTAGTCTTTTAAATTTGTTGATGACGCCCTTAGAATTTTTGGCGTAGGCAATTATGAGCACTTCAAAGTTTAAATTAGTTAATTTGAAAATGCAGTATTTGCATGGCATTTCACCAAAGAGTGCATGATCTCGTCTCCATGTGGCTTCTTTTTCTGGCATTTCTAGTGTCTGGCATGAGTTTCCAAGGGTTTCCTATACATGTATCATAAGCTTTGGCAGTAAAAAAATGCATGGTTTTGTGCTGGGGAAAAGCTACAGCTCACGAATGTTCTTATTCACTTTATGTCTGAAAGCCATGAAGTGAAAAATTCAGTTGTTATTCACTTTATTTAAAAATTGGAACATTGTGATTCCTTGTTGATATTTGCATGCCCAATGCTCATACTTGGATGGGATTCAGAAATTGTCTGATAATTAACAACTGTCATAAGGACTAGAAAAAATGCGAACGCATGTTTTCAGAAATAAAAGCATAGAGGGTACAATGTGTGGACAGTTTCCACATTTCATTTTGCTGGCAGACAGATATCCCGGGTCCTTAAGATTCCTATCTGTTCTGAAGGAAACATATGTTTGGAACTTGTTTTAGCTGTATCCATGATTTAGTTTTCTCATAGCAGCAAGAACGATAAGTATACATTAATTTAACAGGCAAAAAATAGTTAAGTATATGTCAACTAATGAATATCACCTTGTAATCTCTATCTGTCCAGAATTTGGCTAGTTGTCGTAACCATTTTCTTTTACTTCAAGTCTACTCACAAAAACCTACTTTATAATCACTGCTATTTCCTGTTAGAACTTGCAAAGTATCTTCTTTAAGATTGTTTTCCCCTGGTACACTTGATATTCATTTGTACCCTGGGCTGCATTCCACTCTCGCCCTTTTCCTATTACTTGCTGTCTTAAAAAGATTTGTGCTTTATATAGACAGTGTTAATCTGGTTAATTGATTATTTAGAAAACCTATTTTTCTATATCAGGCACAAATATGCATGGGTTTGTTAATGGTAATTGGTTTGTTGTTTGTTGATGGAATTTGAAAATCTAATTTCTAAATTAGGCACAAATATATATGGTGAAAGGCTTCTAATTTTGAGCTAGTGTAGTTTTTTTTTCTTTGTGAACTGGACTGGTGTAGTTAAAATATCATTTTTGGTTGAGATTTTTTTTGATTGGATATTTCTTCATGTTGCTGCTAGCATTGATATTTTTGCTTAAATTTAGATGAATGTCATACTTATTTTCTTCCACTTAAGTAAAAGATGTTCCCTATTGTTGATTCTAGTTGGCAAAGAAACATTAGGTCTGTGCCAAAAGTTCTGTTTGAAATATGGCTTGCTTTTGGTGAATTCTAAGGTTGAGATGAGAATTCCTCCATGATGATTGAACTAATAGATCTTTCGGTTATTCGATTAACAAATATTCTGGTGCATTGATTGATTTTCTGACTATAGTGTTTACAAATATTTTCTCTTTAATCAGATGTCGACCATTGAAGGTTAAATTCTTGTTTTCCAAGGTGTGGAAAAGCTTTGACTTTATTTTGGTTACTTCTTGCAACTTTGTTGATGCATATAGCTGTAACTAGGTGAGCAAGAAGCATATCAAAACACCTGGGGTAGTTATGGAATGCAATAAGGATGAGGCAGTTAGGGCTAAGGAAATCGCTGAAAGAAAGATTACTGAAAAGGATTATACTGGTGCAAGAAAGTTTACTTTGAAGGCTCAGAATTTGTATCCTCAGCTTGATGGTCTCTCGCAAATGTTGACAATTATTGATGTTCACATCTCTGCAGAGAAGAAAATTAATGGGGAAGCGGATTGGTATGGTGTACTTGGTGTGAACCCCCTGGCTGATGAGGAGACAGTAAGGAGACAATACAGAAAGTTGGCTTTGATACTTCACCCTGACAAAAACAAATCAAGAGGTGCAGATGGTGCATTTAAGTTGGTTTCCGAGGCTTGGAGTTTGTTGTCGGATAAGGCTAAGAGATTAAATTATAACCAGAAGAGGGGTTCAGGGGCCGTTCAGCAAAAGTTTGCAACCCAAAGTGGGGTCTCATCACAGGCACCGTCTGCAAATGGCTTTCACAATTCAACAAATACAACAACTTCGAAAGTTCGGGCTAGCAATGGTAATCTTCAGGGAGATCCGGCCTCATTTTCTTCTCCATTACATCAAAAACCTTCAACTTTTTGGACTATTTGCAATGGATGCAAGACACAGTATGAGTATCTCAGAATTTATCTCAATCACACTCTACTTTGCCCTAATTGTCATGAGGCCTTCTTAGCTTTGGAGAGAGCTCCACCACCAAATGTTTTGAAGGCATCCAATTGGTCTT